TATTTTTGTTTCGAGCTTCAATTTATTTTTTGTTTCGAGCTTCAATGTGATGTTTATATGTGAAACATCACATTGTTTTTACATATTAATTCAACTTATCAGATTGGTTAATTTTTACCAATTTAACTTTTCACAGCACCATCAACAAGATTCAAGATGAGTGTTATCAATGAGTGGAAGGTAACAAAAATATACTTGAAGTTGTAGTTAGATACTTCCAAGGGATTTTCTATCAGAATCTAGTATTTACAGACTTTTCAAACCTCAGTATCATTAACCCTCCATAATCACTTCCCATCTCCTCTCCTACTGAAGATGAAATAAAAGGTTGTACTTTTTCAATGGACCTGAAAGTGTTCCGAGTTAGATGAATTTACTACTAATTTTTTTCAAACTTGCTGCCTATCATTGCTTCGGATATATGAATGCCTTTTTGTGGGGTTGAATTCCCTAAGTACTTAACATATACGTACCTATTTGGTTATGGTTCCTAAAGTCAGCTTGTCACACCTCGAGTTTATACCTTGGTCGTGATCGATACTTGAAAACGATTTCTGATCCCAAGCAACTCATTGGTTTAGTTGACTAGTGAGTGGAAGACTAACATACATGGAAAGCTTAAGGAGACATGCACTTGAGTAACTTAAATATACTTAAGTTGAAAGTCGGAGAACAAATCTGAAATATAAATAACAAATATATTTTTAACAAATGAATATTAGAGACTGAACTGACTCACTAACTCTGTTCATGAAGCTTTTGTTGGGTTCGAAAGTGATTAGGGCGTCATGCGAAAGATTACAATTGCAAATCATATGCTGATAAATTAGACGACAAATAAAAACATACTAAAAATATATTATTAATATAGTTTGGTCAAGCGACCTACATATTATAAAACTAATAATGAAAAACATAAATATATTTAGGAGAAAATCTCCTCATAAACAAGACTCTGTAAATGACTATATTGTGGATGTTATTAGTGTTCTTGATATGAGAAGAAGGTTCTTCAATTTATAGGATTCCAAACATTTCCTCTAAGGAAGGAATAACCAAAATATGGAAGAAAATTATATTTTCCTTTCGGGAAAAATAGAAAACATTTATTGTAATGTTTTGTCTTTTCTTTTAGAAAAAAATAAACTTCAAATTAGATAAGAAAATCAGGACAAAACCCTAACATTTTCTACTAAAGTAGGATAGATGTCTGACTAGTACCCAGCTATCTAAATAAAGAACTACTGTCTACTAAAACATGAAAGACAAATAGAGTCGGAGTCCTCTAAAAAAGCAAGAAAGCCTCACCAAATTTAAAGGACATTTTTAATACCTTACACAATATTTTATTTAACATCACAAAATTTAATTTCTTTAATTTTAACTCTAGATTGAAATTGAGGAAATACTATTTCTATATTTTTAGTGTATACTCTAAGTTTACTTAATTTAAAGAGAGTAGAATGGAATAATTAAATTAGATGTCACCCTAATTTCAAGAAAGAAAGGAAAAAGAATTTGAATGATGTTGCATGTTAGTGAAAATTGGATGGCATACGACTAGAGCTCAACCAGTTAGATTTTTTGAATCTTCACTTTAGTGGTAAGAATTTACTTTCTAACCTTATAATTACCTTTCCATTTTTTCTATATATCTTCAATTTTATTATTTTATTAAGAGGAGGGCATATTTTCAAAAATGCACAAAAAAAAATATTTTGATCGTGATACGATGATACAAACACACATTAAAAAGGCGAAATAAATACAATTGAAAATGTTGGTCAAGGAAAATTAATTAGAACGTTTCGGATGATACTTATTTCGCTTTTTATATGAAGTAATAACACAATGAAATAATGCAATAACTAAAATACAATACATGTATACGATAAACTCACACAATGCTCCTAGGCTCCCACCAAGCCTAAGCTTATCGAAAAATGAATTAAAGTTCAACTACTAGCCTTCTATTCTAATTCGTGACCTCCAAACTTTCAATCAAAAGTTGTTTCCTCGATAAGCTTAATTTGAGTCACGTCATGCTTAATCACCTGATCTCCCTAATACTTCTTTGGCATATCTTTACCCCTCCTCATATCCTCTATATCCAATGTATCACACCTCCTACCGAGGCATCTGCACATATTCATTTCATATGTCCAAACTATTTCAGACTCGTTTTTCTGACCATTTTATCCACTACAAAGGTCACTTTCATCTTATCCTAAATATCACTATTTTTTATCCTAACTCCCCTAATATGAAAAATTTAATGCAATTTTATTTATTTATTATTATTATAAGAACTTGGTGGAAGTTACTCTGTCCTTAATTTTGGACACGACTAAAGTAGAAAGAAGGCATGAATCGACGGTGAAAAAAAACTTAATCTAAATTTTTCATATATCCATACTAAGAAATTGGTGCTTGGCTTTGTTTTTTATTACATAAACTCGAGTAGAATATATATATATATATATATTACTAGATACAGGAATCCGCGTAGCACAGGCTCAATATCATAATATTTTTTTTATTTTAATTTATGTGATATATGTAGAATTTAGAAAGTTGAATAAATTTAATATGATTTTTAGATATATAAGTGATTAATTACTTTTTGTTTGTGAAAATTTATTGTGAAGAGGTCCATTAAGATGTCTATAATTAAAGTATTTTTCGTCATCAACCGTTAATTTTTTACTCAAAGTAGTTACAAGATATAAACAAATATTATCGACGTTCAAAATAATAAAGCAATAACTAAAGAATATGAATTTAAAACTAAAAGTTAGAGCAAAAACGGATTCCATAATTTCGAAAAAATTATACACTAATTAAATTATTGTAGGAAAAAAAGTAATTTTTTTAATAAAAAATTCCGAAACACACTGAAGCAGGCACGTCGACGAAGACGTTTCTGTTTCAGTGTGAAATCTTGAGTTTAAAACTAAAAGTCATAGCTAAAAAGGATTCCATAATTTCGAAAAATTATACACTAACTAAATTAAAGTAGAACAAAAGAAATAAATTTTAAAATTTTCGAAACACGCTGAAGGAGGAACGTTGATTTCAAAAGTCATAGCTAAAAAGGATTCTCTATTTTTGAAAAAAATTATACACTAATTAAATTAAAGTAGAACAAAAGAAATATTTTTTTTCCAGAAACATACTGAAGCAGGCACGTCGACGGAGAACTAAAAGTCAGAGCTAAAAAGGATTCTATAATTTTGAAAAAATTATACACTAATTAAATTAAAGTAGAACAAAAGAAAAAAAATTGAATTATTTTTCGAAACACGCTGAAGCAGGCACATCAATTTTAAAAGTCTTAGCTAAAAGGATTCCATAATTTCAAAAAAAATATACACTAATTAAATTAAAATACAACAAAAGAATAATTTTTAATTTTTTTTTCCAGAAAGACGCTGAAGCAGACACGTCGACGGAGACGTGCCTTTTCAGCACTAACTGTTTCTTATATAATAAGAGAAAACTTGTAGATGGTAAAAATGTTAAGCTATTTAAGTAAGGGTATATCTGTCAATTTTGTATAGTTTAAGGGTCACTTGGTAGCTGATTAAAGTTATGCAGTTATTATTAATGTATGAATTAGTTATAAGTGAATTTATGTTTTATTTATACAGATATTAGTTATGCATAGATTAGTTAATTATATATTAGTTATCCCACCTTTCAAATTGCATAAAATAATACATAGATTTTCTCATAATCTATTTGTATAAAACAAAATATAAATTTTCTCATAACCTATACATGTTTAATTATGTGGATTTCTAAATTGTAACTAAACGTCATATTAATTTTATACATGAATAACTTATTTTCTATCTACCTACCAAATGTCTTATCAATTATACAAAATTAATATATGAATTTTTCTTATCCAACTACCAAATGACTTCTAAAAAATATTTGTTCTTTTGACTTATTAATTGGGTGCCATTACAATAAGGGCAAATTTAGACCAAGTATTAAACAATAAGAATATATTTGTGCTAAAGTATTAGCAATAAAATATTCGTTCAATTTTTACATAACTTAAAAGAACATAAACTTTTTTCGTATTATAAATATAAAATTAAAATTATAGATATGAGCGTATTTTTTTTTTAAAAAAGAAGATAAAATGGCATTTAAATTTAAGAAACAAAATAATTTTCTTGAACATCAGATCCATGATAAGAGGATCAACATCTCATAAAATCATGAAAAAAATTCGAGATAATGTCCACAATTTACTCAAAAATGACGTGGCAGATATTATCAAAGAAAACCAATCAAAGGCCAGTAATAAAATTTCATATAGAAATTTATTTTTTAATTTTAATTTTAAATAAAAAAATACTATTAAAGTTTTTTAGGTAATAGAAAAGGAAAGAGATTTGAAGGATCCACACAACAAACACATGGTCCCCTCAAATAATTTCCCCTTTTAAGATGACAAAAAACAACTCACCGTCCAAAACTTAACGCCGTTAGACACTATAAGAAAACGACAAGCGCGTAGACTAACGGATTACAAGTCACCGTCATAACGGAAAGACAATCTGGGCCCCACACGTGAATGTCTCGGTCTTAGGTCAGCCGCTTATAAAATATGAAAATCAAATTAGACGGCTTAACCAAACATGACTTTATATAAACCCCCACTCGCACAACTAATCGCGTGCATCACGCGCTTACTTTGTTTCTTCTCTTTCTTTGTATATATAGATCTCCCAATCTTCCATATTATCTTCATATTGAAACAAAAACAAAATCTCTCTCAATTACAGAGAAGAAATATAGTTTAAGGGAGAATTTTCTCTCTTCTTTTCCCTTAAGGAATCGGAAAACCCAGGAAGAAGAAACCTATTTTCTTTATTAATTGCCATTAAATCACCCCTTTGAAGGTCGAAAGAGCCTTTGCAATTTTTTCTTTCTTGGGTATTTATTTGTACAAATTTTGATTTCCTTTTTCTTGTTTTGAGAAGTAAAAATGGGAACAGAAGTTTTGCGGCCACAAAATTGTTTGATTGACAGGTTCAGGGAACCACAACCGGCGGCGGCGTTTCATCGTCGGAAAAATAATGGATACTATAACAACGGTTACCGGAAACCGGTTGTTAGAACGGAGAAAAAGAAGTTGAACAACAAGATCCAGAACCAATCTGAGCCGTCAATTTCGAGGAGATCTGAGGAATCGAAACCGGTTCAGATCCCCGGGGGAGTTACACCGGCGGTGGACGGCGGAATCGTGATGGGTCAGGTAATGATTTTGAGAAGGGGAGAGTCGTTGGATTCTCTGAACCCGAATATAAGGAAAGAGAACAAAACGACGTCGTCGGGTAAGAAGAAGAAACAACCGGCGAGTGGTAGCGGTGATGAGTTGACGGTTTACGGTACCGGAAGATTGGGTCCGGATCAACCCGGGATGTTACCCAAAAATATCCGGGTCGGGCATACTCCGACCGACGTGTATGCTGGATCTGCTTTCTCGAATTCTCCATCGCCTAGATCTCTTCCTCTACCCTCTTTCTTCAACAACATGAACAACAACAAAAAGCAAGTAGAATTCAAACCATTTGATGATTCCGCCTCGAGAGATTTACGGAGGTTGCTCCGACTCGAGTAGCGGATCCGACCCGTATTCTCCAGAATTACCTCTTATAATTCTTAACTAGTTTGGAAGGGGACTATATATGATTCCCCAGTCTCTAATTAGCTTTAAGGTTGACTTATATATTACTATAAATCTTTCATATTCGCTCCTAAATTCTCAAATTTTGGAACTTTCAGTTTTCTCCATGAATTTTTTTAGACATGGAGAAGTGAAAAGGTCTGAAATTTGAGAAAATTAGATTAAAAAAATGCGAATAATTTCTTCTTGTTATTTACTTATTATTATTTATATTATATTTTAGGTCTGGGGATTAAGTATGGAAGGAAGGGGGTTATTGTATTTAAGGGGAAGGAGATTGAAGAAAAGGCAGTGATGAATAAGTTTAGTGTTATGTTAAATATTGTGTTTGTGCTTAAGTTGGTGGTAATGGTGAAGAAGACTCTAATGAGAGTAATGATGGAAATATTGAATAGCTTTGTAAAGCTTTTATTTTGGATTAATGTTTAGTAATCAGAAGAAGTATGTTTTAGAGTATAATTCTCTTTGCTTCAAACTTTATTACCTTCTTGTTTATCTTCTTGTTTCTTTTCAACTTGCTGTGTTAAAAGTGTGATTAGTGCGTATTCCCCCAATGAGATGGAGAATTTTTCACCCTATTTAGACTTTTGGGCCTTTCATCTGAATCAAGACCCGCCCCGGCTCGCGTCGTTCCAACAACCGGCGATATGACAATATATGAGCAATAACAGTAGTAACTCAATTAGGTTGCGCTTCACCTAGAAATAGTATCAACCACACCACACATAGCCAGATAAAAATAGATTAGATAGATAATCTGATTATAATTAATATCTACTCCTAAAAAGTAAGTAAATTTGGTGATAGACCCAAGAAAAACATACTTAGATAGAACATATAGTCAAGTAATGATCTACAAGTCACTCCGTCTTTTTCGAGTTCATGAACGATTTATTTGCTTATTATGCTTATATAACTCTATATATATGAATTGTTGAGATTAAGAACATTTGATTATGCTAAGTAGATTCAATTTTGTCTAATCTAAATCAATCAAATAAAGATTAACAACTTGAGTTCATATTAGTTAATGTTTTTAACCCTAAGTTGTCTAAGTTGAAATTGAAGTAGATGAGCGAGTCCTAGAATTAGTTACTCCCTTGAAATCATTTTAAGAACAAGATTAACTTGAAGAACTTAAGAACTTACTCAATAATATATACAAATCATGCAAGCATAAATTTAACAAAATCTTGTAATCAAAATATGAAAGCTAGACTAAATTGAAGTTAATAAGAATACAAAACCAAAAGATGAACACTATTATTTTGGAAATTGGGGGATATTAAAACTCTTTGGCAGAAGTATGATCAAACACAATTCCAACTTCAAAAAATTCAAATAAAATAAAATAAATATTAAAATTTCATGACCAAACATCCACTATAAATGTTTGGCATAATACATATACACGACCCTTAACTTAGCGTCAACTGACTACTATGACCTTTAACTTTGGGTGTGCACAAGTAGACACTTAAACTTGTATAAAATTGAATAAATAGACACATTCGTCCTACATGACACCCTACATGGCAATTTTGTGTCCTGCGTGGCGTCCTACATGTATTATGTCATATAGGACACATGTGTCTACTTGTTTAATTTTATACAAGTTTAAGTGTCTATTTGTGCAATCCCAAAGTTGGAGGGCACAGTTGTCCACCGAAGTCAAGTTAAGGGTCATGCTTATGTTCCTCAAATAAGCTTTCCTACATTTTCCTTCCCATTTTTTGTGTTTTCTATCTTCAGGTGGAACTTGGAAGAACAATTTCAATAACAGACAAAAGTAGGGGTTCTGAGGGCCGGAAAACAATTAATTGTATCGGCCGCTCTTCCAACTTCAGTTCTACAATTTCACACAACACTCAGTTGGGTAGTTTGATTCATCGGATGTATGCAGCAATAAAATTTGAAGGAGATGAAGTAAAGGTTGCCATGTAAGATGGTACTTTTTAACTTCTTTGAAATTATTCCTAACCCATCGGTGGCCTCTTAAAGTTGGGACGAAGTTTCACTTAGACACCTCAATTGGGTGATGTTTATTTTAAACCCCTCATGTTGGATCTCGTTGTTTCATTTTGACACTTTTTGCTGACATGACATGGTGAGTGTAATACACTCAATGTCAGCGCGTGAGGAGCTTTTCTTTCCAGGCCAAAAAATTATTTTTAAACATTGTTCTTCTTCTTCCCTCTTTCTTTGTGATTATCTCATCCACCACACACCATCAACCTACCGCCGCTGCATCATTGCCATTAATCTTATTAAAATCAAAGTAATTTTTAATTTTTTCGATCTAAAAATCACCACAACCATCATCTTCTTCTCATTCTGTTTCTTTAGATTCAACAATTAAATTTCAGCGCCATGAAATAATTACTCTATTTCGTGTTCACATATTTGAATCCTCTGCACATACGAGAAATGCAAAAAAAAATAATCTTCCAATGTTAGTTATAACTAATTTTTTTAGAAGTAAAGAAGAGAAAAAAATGTTCTTTTATAAACTAATTTTTTCAATGTAATTAAATTTTTTTGAAAGTGTTTCTTGAAAAGATGATAGAGTGAAAAATGGGTTGAGGTTGGGGTGGGTGGGGGTAAGAGGATGGATGATCTAATAGGGGGTGGAGGAACGGTTGGGGTTAGGATGCGTGGGGTGGAGAAGACTCCTGGGTTGGTTGGGTGAAGAAGACAAGGGTGAGTTTCTTGAAAATTAGAAGTGTTTAATTTCTTTCTAAAAAATATTTACTATTTAAGATGAAATGTCCATTATTTTTGGTCCACACACTTGGTACATTGATATGTGCCTACCCTTATCTTTTGAGATTGTAATGCAATTGCATGGCAACAACATCTTGGCCGACCAATGCATGTTATCTTCAAATTAATAGTAGCAAGTATTCAGTCTCTTAGATTTGAACTCAATATTTTGAGGTGATTCTTTTGTTTGTTTTACTTTTTTATTATCACAACTCATGGGGTTTGTCTCTTATCAAACCACAATCAGTAGCATCAAGGTATATGTACCTATATGTAGTGTCACAATTATTCTAACTTTTCGATTCTCCATCGCTGTTTTGTATCCACATTAAAATTCGACTAAATTTAAATTTAATTTATGTAGGAAGTCCCGGAAATAAAGCGCTCCCTAACAAAGACGACTTCATGCCTAAAAAAACTCGAACCTAAAACCTCTGATTAAAAATAAAAGAATACTTACGGCTCGCCACAACCCTTATAGGTGATATATTAAGAATAAACTTTGATACACAATATCCCTATTTTAGACAAATTTTGTTGAAGTTTCAACGCACTTAAGAAATCATAGGCTTTCTTGTCTTTTCATATATACTCCAATTCTGTCCCAATTTATATATGTAATATATACTTTTTGTTTTTTTTAAAAGTAAAACAATAATTTTGATCGTAAATTCGGGAATGAAATGTGTAATTTTTTGAAACAAAATCTATATTATCAGAAACTACGTAAAAAGTAGTACTTCCTTGTTCCTTTTTAGTTGTCATATATACTAAAAATACTCGTTTCAAAATAATTATCAATTTAAACAATCAAAAGAGCATTAATTATCTTTTTCAAACTTTGAAAAGCACATATATAGGTTAAAGAAATAATTAATTGGGACATAACTTAGTGACAATAAACTAAACCTATTTCTCCAGCATCATTCCATAAATTAATTTTTCTTTGTATTTGCTATTCCTTATATGCTATGATTAGAGTGAATTGTGAAAGACCCATCTAACACCAATGGCTTTTCCTTTGATTACTAGTCTCACAAACAAACTCTCCAAATCTTAGACTATTTTTTTCTTTAGCAAATTCTTTAGGACATGATCTTTGGGTTTAAGCCTTTAAGGGGTTTGTTATGATTTACCTTTTAATTGTAACGCTATAATGGGAATTAAGACATTATTGATATTGAGGAGCGATTATCAAGTCTTCTTTGTTGCACCACTATATCTAAGATTATAATTTTGTATCGAAATTACAACATTCAAAGTTTCGTATATAGTTTTGCTTTTATGCAAGCCCAATTGAGAAAGGGTTTTAGGCAAATCGATTTCTGTTCTCTCTTATGAGATATCATTTCTTGCATCAATTCATTAATGATTCATCCTTTTGAGTTGGTTATGGATTTCGATTCCGTAATTTTTTAATGGATTCTTTTTTCATTATCGTGATGTTTGACACTAATAAGCAGAGGCACAATTAGGTGGGGGGTTTGTGACTTGTGAGTTCAGATGAGTCCTGTACTAGAAAATTAATTAAATATATATGTATATTAATTTGAGAACCCCTAACAAAATTGATTGATGGTTTTAAAGGAAATTTAGAACTCCCAAAATCTTAATCCTGGCTCCGCCTCTGATTATTAGTAATAAGTGATATCATATTTGATTTCTGCGAGACTTTTATTGCACATGAATACTAACTTAAGTTCAGAAAAAAATGATTCAAAGATGTTAGAGTGTGCTTCCTTATAAGAGGTCTATGTTGCATAATTTTTGTGCTACTTCCAGTAATTTTTATTTTTCTTATAATTTCACCTAATATCACGTAGTCTAAAATTTATATTATATCAAAATAAAGTATGCATGTCCTTAGATATATTGATTTAACCGTTTGTCCTTCGTTAAAAGATTTACCATAGATAAAATTGACATTTATTAATTTTCTTAAATAATTATTATTTAATTACTATCCTAATGTTTAGGATTTTGAAATGAATTAAAGTTATAACTATTAAATCCTTACTTATTCGTAAGATATAAAAGTCCTAATATTTAGTATTTTGAAATTGACTATAGTTTCACTTCTTAAATATTTCTTTGCTTAACTATATTAAAAGTTTTAACATTTAAGAATTTTGGTTATTAAATCTTTTTCTTTTTAAAATATGTATAAAATT